CTTCAAACCATTGAAGATATTTAATTTTTACTATATCTCCTTGACGGAACTATATATAGACAATTTGCTAAACTTTTACAAATGGTAATGACAATAAAACAAAAAAAAAATTTAAGGAGGTTGTTGACCAGTATTTTGATTTCAGTTRAAACTTGAAGTTAAATAAAATAACCAATTACAATAGTATGTTTAAATACTCAATCTTTTTGCAAAATATTGTAATATAGCTTATTATTTCTAATAAGTGTAAATAAATAAATATGTATTTTTCAATAGTTGAATAATTAATACAACAGCCTAATCATATAGTAACGTGATTGAATTATTTCATTAAATAATTATTCTTATTTAATCATTGTCTTAATTATTTCCATAATGATTTTTCTGCATACGGAACCGAATATCATAAYTTAGTTTTCTGTAGGATTCCGAGCAAGTAATAATTTAGGACATGATATAAATAAAATGGTAACATGTTTCACAAGTGTTTTGCAATAGTGTAATCTATAGGCCTCGATATATTCTATAGATTTACAATAATAGTGATAAAATTTATACCATATTGTTATGGAAAAATGTATCAAAATAATAAATAATATTTCATTATATAATCAATTTTACAAAAAATAAGTTAGYCTATAACCGTATAATATTGAACGTAGCAAGATTTTTTTAAATTTTGTTGATGGAATAATGCACTGGGATACCTTTATCTATAATAATATATTTATATATGCATGTATATAAATGTATCGTGTTAGGTCATGGCACATTTTCAGTAATAAACTCAGTAATAATACGGACACTGCAGTGATGATAAAATATTAAAAATAAGACGTGCTACACACAAACAGAGTTATACAACGATGTTAGATCGTAAGATAAGCCTCAATATTGTCCATAGATTTAAAATTGTAATACAAAAACAAAAAAAAATCATATGCAATGTCTATTAAAATTCTTAAATATAAATTATAATATTTTGTAATCAATTTTATAGATGAAAAAGTCAACATATGTAAAGCTGTGTGTTTTTTATGAAATCAAGTGCGCGGATACGTCTATAATAATATTATATAATGTACCATACTACAGCGGTAACTGCAATTGCGTGCGTAGATCATGGTACAAWTTTTTTTGTACATAATATCAATAACGCAGACACAGTGCAGAYGATAAAATATTTAAAAAAAGACGGTACAACGGTGTTATACAACAATGTTAGATCTTTAAGATGAGACTTGATATTTTCAATGGATGTACAATAACAGCAAAAAAAAAAAAAAAATTATTTCTAAATTCTAATTACTCGTAAAAATCTCAAATAATATAATATATTTAATCCGCTGCAGAAATTTAAGTCTGTGACGCGTGTATAAACGTCTTTAACGTTCTTTGTGGAATAAAGCACGTGAAAACTTTCATATAATACCGGTAATACTTAAATATACCGCGGTACCAATTGAATGTCGCGTAGGTCTCCGATTATAAAACGGTCGGAATGTTAGATCACAACAAAACTTCAGAACCAGTTCACTGGGCGTCATGCGTTAAAGCACAAAAAAATAAAATATTTATGCATAATAACATACGCCACGTTCGTATATGTATACGTTGCGCGCTGTACAATTAAAACCGTTTTCCTACGTGCACCTGCCATAACTATACCGACAATAACAATATTTTAATAATGCGGCGCTCGTGATTGGGTGAACTTGTTTGGCCGTTATTCAACTTAATTACACAATGTTTTTTTTTTCCCATTTCTTTTCGGAATATCACGAGCATATTATTTATTATGATCTAAACGRGTCGTACGCGCCAATTGGATGTGGCGAAAATTCTCCGTCGAGTCCGCAACGATTTTAATCTGCCCATAAGTCCGTTTCGTAACAGCGGACCGCTACGACGACGACGGCGACGACTGTAGTATAGGTAATAGCGTCCCGGGGATGATAAGTGTGGGCGTGTGCGGGTTTCGGCGGTATTTACTAGCACACGCGTTCCCTCCAGAGCGATAAATAATATTGGCGTGTGCGGTGGACATGCTGACGGACCGATGATGGTGAGGGGTGTGGGGTCCAACGCACCGGGGGGTGACACGATGCAGCCGCAGCTGCTCGCCCGTCTGATGGCACGCGAAAAAAATTATTAATATTATTGTGTTGTTGTTGTTGTTGTTGTTGTTATTATTATTATTATTATGTATTATCTCGATGACAGTTTGGGTTATCTGCCATCTCGTCGTATATTTCTCTAAGAGCGCACGCGCGTTCCGATTTTATCTCGATGGCGGCGGCTGAGGCGCGTCGTGTGACGCGTGTACCAAATAATTCTACGCCACTGAATAATAATGTAATAAAATTTATAATATTATGATAATAACAATAATAATAATAATAATAATAATAATAACGATGATAAATATTATGGACAGTGCGCCTTCGGACATGCGAACGTGAATTCCGTACCGAATCTTTTCTGCGGCTGTATATTAATAAAACAGTCGTGTGTGTGTGTGTGTTTCTCTCTCACTCTCTCTCTCTTTTTCGAAGAGATTGTGCAATGTTTTAATATTATGTTATCTCATAATAAAAGAGTTTTTATTTTGCTTCTAACGAGCGGGGTTTAGTGATTAATGTTTTTTTTTTTTTTGCGCGCAGCAGATCCGTGATCCTTCCCACTCGTGTCCGCAACCGCCGCGAGACGAATACAGACAGACTATATCTCCACGAATTAATCCCTGCGCATAATACGTATAAACAAAACTTTAAAAATTATGGTTAAAGAAGCGAAAATAACAAAGTCCTCGTAAACATATAGGGCTGTCAGACATCATTGTTKAACCCTGCAGAAAAAAAACACGTTTGTTARTCAAATGAATAACGCAATTATTGAATATTTAATTTTAATTTTAATCCAAATTAATRTCCACTCAATTTTCCACTAATTGTAAATTTTTCAAAAGCAAYCGTGTGTTTGATTTAATTTTTTTAATTTATTTTAAAATACATTTTAACAACTTTAAATATCAATCGTTTAACCATCGTTAAACTCTTTTTCTGCAKAAAACTCTCATCTTATATCTTATAGAATAATGATTAACTTATTTTACCAAAAAAAAATTTTCAATATGCAAACCGTACTTCTATGTATAAAATGTGTATATTATTATTCTAATTGTCATTTATAGCGTAAACATGCTTAGCCTAGTTTTGTATTTCATATTATTATAAGTACCTAACTAATTTAATGTATACATAACGTATCAAATGCTTAACATAAAAAATATTGATTAATAATGTACCAATTACTATTTTCATGGATTTTAAGTTTAGAACTGAACTAAGACGTTGGTCTGCTGACTTTCAGAGTAATCATATTATTATTAATGTTTGAATGCRTATTCTATATCCTCATTAAAATGCATACATGCGAATAGGGTTCAAAAATATTGGGCTCGATAATAAAAATAATAAAAAATGCTATTTTACAAAATATGTAAGTTTTTAATTATTTATTTTATCCATTATCTRGATAAAAATGTGAGTGATATATCGTTTGTATTATATTATTTAKATTTRGATTTTAATAATTATCTGTTATCTTATTCAGATAATTTTTGGGTGATCTCAGATACTGTGAGTCAAAATATCATACTGAATAAAAATAAACTAAATTGTGTTCTCCATACAATTAAAGTTAAAAAATAAAATAATTACAACCTGTAAATATGAAATTCTTAATTGAACAAAATTACCATCATAGCATGAAATCGTTAATCCATTCTAAGCCCACCCCATTCCTTATTTACGAATAATTAAGTGAAAAATGTTTGCAAATTTTCCCTTGATTTTTGTCAACGATGACTATATAGACCACCAATAAATACTTCATCAGACTACACCAATATACAACAAAATCTGCAATACAAGCGCTTAATAAATCGCGAAAATCATCGTACCTGCCGTCACTGGTCGTAATTTTATTAAACTCAAAGCCCACAGTCACGGTTTTATATTATTATGATAATAGTATAGTATAATATCGCTAGTTAAATGTTTTTTAAATAGTTAATTCTGTACACAATTACTATTCTATTTTTATATTTTTTATTATTGTATTGTCCGACATAGTTTGTTCATACCCACACGCATTGAACAAATGTTCACTGTCAAATACTAGTGTTTCGTTTAATAGTAACAGGTAAAAAAAACCGGTATCATGTCAGCGTTGACTGAATTGTTAATGATTTTTGTTCATTACATCGTATAATGGGCTTGTAATTAAGTACCCCGAGGTATAATTTTATGTATCACTAATGAACATGAAAACCGAAGGCGTTACTTAATAAATTAATCGACGTATTAGCATCGCATAAAAATTAATGCACTCAAAAATAAATCCCAATTAAACGAGATTTGATTTAAATTCAAAGTGGGCGCTAAATATTTTGAACGGTCAAACGTCACATCAATGTATAACAATGTGCACATTTTCGATTGATATTCCCCAAAAGAAAATGAAATCTCGTTTTAAACGTTCTGAACGTATTGTACGGTCAGCGCGTTATCTAATACATTTCAAGGCCGTTCGTAACAACCATAATATTTCATCAGGTCGCACTAGGTATAACAGCTATAATATCTCAGCTGTAAATTGATATTTTGTTTTGCGGTTATGTGGACTGCTTCAAAATATATACCGTGGCCGTTATAATTATTGACGATAAAAACGATGGCTATAATATTAAATAACCATACACAACATCGATATTGACCAGGGGGCAACGTTGTTGCATATTATAGCCACACCAGCGCAACCGGCCCCCTTAGTAACCACACCCAAACGTTTGGACCAAAAAACCGCCTCGGGGGCTCTAACTGGTGACAAGGTGATAGTAATCTGCAACGAGTAGGGGATAACCGTACGTTGTTATGTTTTTTTAGCCTCCTGACAGAAGTGGGATGTATTATGTATAAAATCTTAAGCGCGGGCTTGCACCTAGTGATTGGTGTCCGTCTAACGAACCGCATCGAATCGTGCGCAGTGTGTTGGTTTTCGTGTTAGTTTAAATTCGATTTACTCGCGGGTTTAAGTGATTTTTTTTCCCGAGCATCCAGAGAACCACCGCTATGGAATTAAAGGTATGTAAAAACATTTTTTTTCCGTGTTCGCTGTCTTAAATAACTTTTAAATAAAATATGTATAAAACCAGAGAATACGAAATAGTATAATGTAAATCAATCCAAATATTATTAGTACGTCCATGTTCTATAATATTATACATATTCGTAACATATGTAATATTAAATAGTTCAATTGGTTAATTAATAATTTTATAATTTTATAAATGTGTAAAATGTATTAAATACATAATATTATGTATATATTATTGTCTCTCAGTTTTAAATTTTTTTAAATCATTTTCTTTATAATTAAAAGGTATTAGCGGTTACGCTGTTGTTGGCCGTAAGCTGCAGCTGCCAATACGAGGCAGAAAGTCATCAACACGATGATGGGTGCTCTCATCCACCAAAATATGGACCTAGCAAATCTGATTACACCCAAAGTTTAGTATCTTACGCTCCTGCAGCACCCAAGCCAGCTTACTTCAAGCCCAGCTATGAAGCTACCAAATATTCAGCACCGAGTTACTCGGCACCAAGCTATTCAGCTCCTAGCTACTCGGCTGCCAGCTACTCGTCTGCCAGCTACTCGGCTCCCAGCTACTCGGCTCCCAGCTACTCGGCTCCCAGCTACTCGGCTCCGAGCTACTCAGCTCCGAGTTATGCAGTACCTGATCCGAGCTACGCGTCACCAAGCACTCCTAAATACTCTTCACCGAGCTACACCAACAATTACAAACCAGCAAAGGCTGTGTACTCTGCACCAGCGTACAAACCAGCTGTTTACTCCACACCCAAATACGAAGCACCAAAATACGTGTCAAGTACCACCGAATACACGCCCCATGAATACAAAGGTGATTACAAACCAGCTGCACCATACTCAGTAACCACCCCGAAATGCGAAGACGCTGCYCAACATGAATACACTACCGCCGCACCATCTTACTCATACTCCTCAGCACCACAGTTATACGTAAGCAAACCTGCCTACTCTCCAGCACCAGCTGCATACTCTGCGTCCAGCTACTCGACTCCAGCTCCCAGCTACGCTGTACCCAACCCATCTTACTCCTCAGCATCTTCCAGCTACTCCCAACCTAAATACTCGCCGTCCAGCTACTCTTCATCCAGCTACTCATCGTCCAGCTACTCTACCGCCGCTCCCAGCTACGCTGTACCAAACCCATCTTACTCCTCAGCATCTTCCAGCTACTCTCAACCAAAATACTCGGCACCAAGCTACTCTTCATCCAGCTACTCATCATCCAGCTACTCCGCACCGGCTGTCAGCTACGCCGTACCAGAACCAAACTATGCTTCACCATCCGYACCAAAATACTCTTCATCCAGCTACTCTACACCAGCCCCTAGCTACGCCGTCCCAGAACCAGTGTATGCCTYCCCAGCTGCACCAAAATACTCCCCAGTCAGCTACTCCACACCAGCCCCGAGCTACGCCGTCCCCGAACCAGTATACGCCTCCCCAGCTGCACCAAAATACTCCCCAGTCAGCTACTCTACACCAGCCCCGAGCTACGCCGCCCCTGAACCAGTKTACGCTTCTCCACCAAAATACTCTGCTCCCGCACCCAAATACCAATCATCGAGCTACAACTCGTACTCGAGCAGCAGCTACAAGGCCGCCAAGCCCGAATACTCTGCACCAGCACAGAAATCCATAGCGTACTCTACTCCGTCGTCGTACGTCGCAGTGGCACCACCAAAATGTGATGAGCACGAACAGGAATACGTCACCAAAGCTCCGTCTTACGAGTCCAAACAATCGTACGCTCCAGCTCCAGCATACTCGCCAGCCGCGTATACGTCATCGAAACAATCTTACTCGTCCGCTCCGATCGCCGTGTACTCTCCAGCCGCTTCTTATGGCTCAGCCCCTGAATACTCTGCCGCTCCCAGTTATTCAGCCCCTTCGTACTCTGCTTCCCAGAGCTACCAATCTGCATCGTACTCTTCTGCCGCTCCAAGCTACCCGTCGCCGTCGTACGCCGCTGCCCCTGCCCCGGAATATGCCCCAGCAGCTCAGTCATACGCACCAGCAGCCCCGTCGTACGCACCAGCGGCCCCGTCGTACGCACCAGCGGCCCCGTCGTACGCACCAGCGGCCCCGTCGTACGCACCAGCGGCCCCGTCATACGCACCAGCAGCCCAGTCATACGCACCAGCGGCCCCAGCATACGGATCAGCAGCCCAGTCATACGCACCAGCTAAGACTTACGCGAGCTACGTCACACCACCAAAAACTGGACCGACCAAGAACGTCGTAAACACTCACTTGGAAAATTACGTAAGCATAATAAAATAATAATAATAGTAATATTCTAACAATAGCTAAATARTTAATAAAATARTATGAGGGCATATATCATACTATACATAATATTTAAATATTTAAATCGATTAATGTTCGTTTCGAAATGTGTATATTTTTTATTTACTTACGTTTTAAAATCGACGGGAAACGTAATAAATTGTTACTCAACAAGAAGTCAGATTTCAAAAATCTAAATTGTATTGTAATATTACGTGGAAACAAATATAAATTGGCGTAGGACAATATTATTATTTATTTTTGCAACGACCGACTCTCGTATGTTAAAAATATGCCATTATGTAATAATCTTACTATTGCAATGATACAAAGACTACGAGTATATATATTATATATATATGTATCGTTAACTAAATACGAATCCCATGACCCAGCGATTTATTATGTTTTGTATACATATTTCAGGATGAGAACCCAAGATACGCCTACGAGTACAGCGTAGACGATTCTTACACAGGTGACAAGAAGAGCCAAAAAGAAGAACGTGATGGGGAAGTTGTGAAAGGAGAATACAGCCTTGTCGAGCCTGACGGTTCCATAAGGACAGTAACCTACTACGCCGATTGGGACAACGGATTTTTCGCTAATGTCTCTAAGACACCAGCAGCAGGAGCTAAATACTAATTTCCAAATAAATATATAAACTTAATGTATTTTTAACTCTTTTTTTCTATACGCCAGATGTTAAAGAAATTTATGCAAAATACGTAAGTCCCATCATATAGCAAAAACGATGCAACTCATCAACACCATATTCATATCAATTATATTACCCGTTTTTTGCGGATATATTTTTAGACCATGAAATACAAATTTTTATATAGATTGAGATCAGTAAAGTTATCTTTCGTTCGAATCGAAATAAAAAGAAACGATCTCACAACATCGAAAAACGTATCAAAATTAAATCCACTTCTACTTGTAACTTAACATTATTATAAACAATCGTATTATTTTTATTATTTTATTAACATTTCAATAGTTTAAAATTTAACTAAAAAATCGAATAAAAACAAATGCTCAAGAATGAAATACAATAAATCAGCGAGATAATAATATTAATCAGTGTAGATTGACTGCCGTCAACAACGGTTTTGTCACTTATTATTATTATTATTATTATTATTATTGAAAGCCAACAACATTTAAATACGTTAATAATAATAAATTGTCTCATTTTATAATAAAATTACGTTCTTCCTAGTTCTGTACCTTATGCAATTGTATATATTTATACTTTTCGATGTAAAATTTTTATTATTATTTTATTATKTTTTGTATTATTATTATTATTATCATTAGTATTAGTATTATTAATCTTCGTGTATAATCTTCATATGATTTTTATATTATTATATTTTATTATGTATCATGACGATAGATCGATAATAATTTTTGACTTATATACATTATTATAAATGAAAACTTCGTAGTTACCAACACAATATCGTGTTTTTTTTTTGGCAGTATCAACGGGAAGAGAAGGGAAGGGAAGAATAGCCTTCAGGGATTTTATCCGCGAGATTTAGGTTACCCGAACGCGTCGTCGTGAGGCGTCCGTGGCGGYGGCAGTGCGGTGGCGTAGTTGGTCTTCGAAAAACCGGTCCGGGGCGCCCCCGGGGCTGATATATATATTTCGTTATTTATGTTAATCTCTCCGATGTGGGAGCGAGCTATATATTATTATGTATAGTACATAATACCTGTGCAGTGCGGCGTGTGAGTGTGTGTGCGCAAACAACCGCCGCCGCATGTATTTTCATGTGCGTTATTTTCTATTCCGACGAGAATGTTGCGGCGGCGTAGGTACACAGCTGCTATATAATATAACCAAGACGAGTGTGTCCAAATCGAGAAGTAACGTATAATATAGTTATGCAACATAATGAGATCGACCTGGAACTGTCACACACACACACACACACACAAATGTGCACTTATTTGCGGCGAATTACGCACGCGTACCAGTTTATAGTAAAATTTAATATAAATTGTTCGTTTTAAACTGACCGAACCAGCTCATCCAGTAGTTGTAGGCAGTAGCTGGTAGTACGAACTGCAAATGACGTAGAGGAGATATCAGATATGGTTCCGACTGAAAACGACGAGGAAATCGGACGACTCGGGGTTGTAGTCGTCACACTTGTTCWGGTACGAGGTCTCTACGATTGAAGATCGTTTTTTTCCCCCTCAATCATTAGCACACTTATATATTTTATGACTAAAAACCCAGGTACCCTTCGCGTAAATACTTTATTGGTATGTTAACCCGTGACCACGGTTACGTGAAAAGCGCGTTATCCACGGGCAGTGGTTGGCCGACGAGCGCGGATACGTAGTCGCGTTATATTAATCGTCCTTGAGCTGTCGGCGAGAGGCCACGAGATTAAAAAAAAAAATGAAACGTTACCCACACACAACGCAACGGAGTTTGAGACGGCTCGGGCGTAATATATATTTATTATATATTATTTTAATTCGAGCACTCAAGGTTCGAAAACGTTAATTAAGTCAAATCGAACGACGTGCAGGTTGAATAACGTTTTCATAATCTTAGAAATTATAATTACAGCTGAGGTGAAAGCGTCGACAAAGCTCGCGGATAATACACGTATAATATCCGCGCGCTGATACGCTGTACCGCTTAGATTTTTCCTTAAATATTAAATACGAAACTAGGTACATACAAATATTATGTTTTACCATTTTTCATGTTTTATTTTCTTCTGAACGTATAATACGTCTTATTATAAGCGCAGATATGTAGTAGRTATAAAATAATATATTTGATTATTATTATTATTTATTATTAACAATTTTTCTGACTTATATCACAATTAAACTTATGCATTACAATTGGAAATTTGTATAGCGTTTGTTCATCAGATATAGCATAGCGTATGACTGTCTACGCACACTGAATGCAAACACTTTGTAATGTTTTTGCGACATGTTAAGCAACATATTTTGTTTTTGATCCAAATCGTTGTGTTCTCGATTAATGCCAGAAATAATTATGAGTACATACCACTTAGTTAAATAAAATTTATTTTATATTTTATGATAGGTGCCTAGTATTATATTATTAAGTTATGTGTGCAACGAAAACGTCTGTTATGGTGATCTCTATATAACCCATAGGCAGGTACGTAACGGATATTGTTGTTTATGAAATAAATAAATAATACCTATACAACTTCACTGGACATCATGTACCTATGTAAGTACCACATCAGCTAATAAATAATTACATCAGTAATGAAAAGAATAGCACACATAAAATAAGACGTTAATAATATGGTATTTAATAACAAGTTCAAAATAGTTATATATATACACGCAAGTACGAATAACCAGTATGCGGTGTAATAATTATTGCCTATGATGTTGAATAAATATTRAAAATTAATTTATGAGTAATTAAACTCACGATTGCGGTCGCGCATCTGGTACACGCACAGCCCTCTAGTACGTAACAAAACAGTTACTTTCAATACGATACTTTCAGCACAGTAGGTACGTGTAGAGATATCCTTCGTACTGCATAATAATTATATTTTTGATTTACGTAAAATCAGGTTATAGTAATAGTATAATGTTGACATCTACACATTGTAAGTATTATATATTATACACATGTTATATTTACGCTTGTTTTTCGTGTGATTGGCCAAACTAATCACATAAATATTTCCAACTGTACATTAAAAATATATTGTATATTATTATTATTAGTTATTACTATTATATATAGCGCTTAAAATCGCATGATATTAATAAATGGTACCATAACAATATGTCACCAACTCATCTGGGCATAACACTAAGTTTATCGATTTACATAGTAATTGTAGGTACCATATCGATGAGTATAGAAGGTATAGTATAAAAACTAACAGACGAGTAATAATTCAAAAATATTTTTGCCATCAATATCGTAGCATTGTTTTAATTCRAATTTATCAAATATATGGTTAACATTTTCAATTTACACAAATACTTATTATAATATTATAAGATTTAATTGATTAGTAAATATAATAATATTATAGTTACAATAATAATATTAATTACAATTTATAAATCAGAGATCAATGCAAATGATAAGCAGACAGAAAGTGAAACCCTGATAAATGTGGAAACTTATTTGATTAYGCAGATTAACACTTGATAGGCAGATTATACACAAATAACAATAATAATAAAAAATATTAAATCTTACATAATACAAAATGCAAATTATAAACTAATAATAAATACCGTTTCAATTGGCATTTCTTGACATACTTAGAAAATTTTATTTTGGTATAACTTTGATATTATTATTATAACAGTGGCATTTACTTCAGTTGAAACTATAAAAATTCAAATTTGAAGAAGATCTATTTAGGTATCGTACATTTAAGTTTACTATTGTGCTTGTTGCGAATGACTTTTACAGCTTGAAAATAAAATATTATTATTATTTCTGAAATTTTGTTTCCGCTGAATTTYACTTTTTTAATAAACTATTTATATATTTAAGGTTTAAAGTTATCCAATSGATAGTGTTTTACTGTTTTAAGATTTTACTTTTTTGATTTTAGAATCTTAGTAGTTTAAGTTTTTAATTTTATATTGCAGAACAGCATTTTGTATTTTCTTTACATGTAAATCGACTTTCGAACGAATAAATTAATAAACAACTTATAACTAGTTATAAGTATAGTAAGTATAAATAAATAATAATTATTTAAAGATTATATTATGAGMACAGATGTAAAGTATCACTCAATGGTAGGGTATCTACTGCCAAAAATATTGATCCACTACTCTACACATCTACTCAAACTTCGAGTACTTTAAAATAATTAACTACTCTTTTGTAATTTAATTTGTATGAAAACCTAGAAAATAATTCTGATTCTTAATATTAAATTGAAATATATTATATCGTCATTCAAAACTGTAAACTACTTAAAAATAATGACAGGATACATATTTTAAAAATGTTGCTTCATCAATAATTGTGTTTTAAAAAAAAGTAATACACTTTTAGTAATTATAAGTAAATTCACTGAAATTGATCACTTTCAACCTTATATATTATGATATATTTATATATATATATATATATCTTATTTATTGTAAAAGCGGAATTCAGAAAAAACAAAATCATATAGGAATCATATATAATATTGTACTTATCACTGACGATATTTAAAGTTTAAATATCATCAGTGATAAGTACAACAGTAAATTAAGCTTCAATTTGTATGTAAATTCCATTTTATTAATACCTACTTCTAATTATACTAATAAATTGAAAATTATTATGTCTTAATTTAACTTACCTTTTCTAAAAATACTTTTGTTTTATTCCTTTAAGTGTTGTCAAACGAATCATTGGTTTTAGTACGTTACTATAATATTATTATTATTGATTAGAATATAGTTATGCATCTCTATTGCCTATACAATACGCCGTAAAACATAAATAATATTATGAAAAAAWAAACTATTCACAGTATTAATTAAAGACTAGACTTATTTGACCAATTCACTGGATTGATTAAAAATCACTTTAAARTGATATGTCCCATTAGTTATTGAAAAATATGATGTTTTATTGTGCCTCCTTATCGTTATGAGTTCAAAAATATGAAATGACGCC